TTTCACACCGTCTCCGTCATGACAAACAGGGGTCACTGCATTTCAGGGTCCAGGCAAAGCTTCGGGGCTTTGAGTTGATTGAAGGACCATTCTCTCTCTGTTGCTCCTGTTTGCGGGGTCCGAGGGGGGCGGGGCGTCTGAGAACAGCGCATTAGCACTCAAGCAGGTGTCTACAAGAAGATGCAGAGCAACCCCAAAAGCAAGCAAAGCCCCGCAGAAACCTGTTTCCAAAACCGACTTGAAATCTTGCGCTTACACCGAAATCCAATAAACAAAAACACCAGAACTCTAAACCCCCGAAGCCCTCTTCAAACCCCGAACTCTCAAAACCCACAATTAAACCCAAAGGACCCACATCGCCAGAACTAAAACCGGTAGAAGCCTTACAACACGGTTACAATCCCGTCAAAACACTGTCTAGCCTCGGAAACTTGAAACTCAATCCCCCAATGCCTAAACTAACATATAAGCCCCTTTCAGACCCCTCGCAAACCCTATCCAACCCTAAACCCTAATTCCTAAACCCTAATCCCTAAACCCTAAACCCTAATCCCTAAACCCTAATCCCTAAACACGGCGAACAGCCGAGCCTTCTCCGAATCATCGTCCAGCCAGGGCTTCTTCAACTCCCAAGGTTCCGGCCTTCGAAGAGGGTTTAGGATTTAAGGCTTAGGGTTTATAGGGGTTTAGGGTCTAGGGTCTAGGCCATAGGGTCTAGGGCTTAGCGGTTTAGGGTTTAGCGGTTTGGGGTTTTTAGTTTATGGTTTAGGCTGTAGGGTTTTTACCTTATGGTTTAGGGTTTAGGGTTTTAGGCTCACGGTTTAGGGTGGAAGGGTTTTGGGGGGACAGGATAGCAGGGTGTAGGGTTTATAGGGGTTTACCTATAGGGTCATACCCTACCCCTGTTTTAGGGTACCTACTTCTGTATATAGCAGGTCCTGATCCCAACCTGAAAATACAAGTTCCTGACGAAAAGGGTAGGGATGGGTAGAGTATGGCCGACCGGGTAAGGTTTAGGGGAAGTCAAGCTCTGCGGCTCGTCCTAGGGTTCCTGTAGGGATTCCTTTGACGCGTTCTTTGATGGGTTACTACAAGGGTTCGGCTATTCTTGCGGCCTGGAACAGTAGAATAGTGACTAGGGCTTCTTATGAAGAGTCTCGAGTCTATAGAGGTCATCTAGTCGACCCCATAGAACCTACCTCTAATCTCCATTGTACTTCCTCTGTTTGGTTTAACCAACTTTACATTAACCCTGGAGCTCCAAATAGCCCAAAATAGGTCACATTTATAGACTTTAGGCCCCAAAGTAGGTACCATTTGCATACTTGGAGCCCTTGGGTAAGGATCTTAAGTACCCTCGATCTACTTATGACCTATAGTTGCCATTGTAGTTCCTTTTTTGGTCAAACCAACTCTACATTAAGGATCCTATAACGGTAACCCCAAAAAAGAAGTACCGTCGTGGCCCCTCTTTAACCCTAAACCCTAAACCCTAAAACCCTAAACCCTAAACCCGAATTCTTAAGGATCTTAAGTTCCCGTCGATCGCCTCGGCTTTCAGGTCCTCTGCTGCTCGAAACGACTCGGGAGTCTCCAGCGTCCGGCTGCCAGGAGCTATCGGACGGCCATTCTCGTCGGCAGGTACTGTAGGGGCCCTAAGAACTACAGTAGAATAGGGTTTTGGGGTCTTTCATATTGTAATTACATACAAAAATACAGAACCCAACAAAAACTATTGGTAATTATTAAGGCCCCTCGATTACTCTTTCTGGCTTCGCAGGCCCCTCATCCCAATCATCGCCGGCAGCATCATCTCCACACCACTCGTCCCGATGAAATTTGCGATGTACGACCACATCTGAAGCTTGGAGCTCCAGTTAAACGGCTTGCGTAGGGTGTTGGTTTCATTCTCGTTTAAGAATACCGGAGACCAGTCGGGGATGCTGTTGCTGATTATTCAGACCCCTAGATTAGATTTTTCAGGCTCCCTTCAAGGGTTCCGTTTCGGAATAGGATACAGTTTAGCCTATGGCCGTAATCCTGGAAACGGCGCTTTGGGTTCTTTTCGGTCTTGCCTTGCAGGGAGCAAACGGGGGGGCTTGCTGTGGTGTAAAAGTTTGCAGAGCGAAATCTCGTGGGTTCGTTTTGAGTGCTTATAGCGATCAGGGTGCGCAGCAAAGAGTTTTCTGATGCATCCCTCACACCTACAGCATTCGCCCACACCCTGCGAGGTTTGCAAAAGTTAAGGCGTTTAGGGTTTCGGGTTTAGGCCCTAAACCCTAAACCCCAAACCCGACAAGGGTTTTGGGTTTCGGGACCAGCCTCTTTGTACCGTCCATGCAGTGGCAATGCTTGGTACAGCAGCCGGGTGGCACTGCCGGCGGATGGCCTGGCACAACTCCGCAAGTCTGCAAAACAACTGTTTAGGGTTTAGGCTTTAGTTTAGGGTTTAGGGTTTAGGGTCTAGGGTTTAGGGCTTAGAGCTTAGGGTGTAGGGTTTAGGAACACTTAGCAAGGAACAGTTGCTTGCAACAGGCCGTTGCTCAGGTCCTGCTTCGGGTGGGTATAGTGCTTTGAGTTCGTGGCTCCGTTTCACAACCCTTTCTCCGATTTCTTCCATCTTTCATACCCCAAAGACCCTACCACATCCTAAAAGCCCTAAAACCCTAAGCCCTAGACCCTAAACCCTAAAACCCTAAAAAACCCCAAAACCCTCAACCCTAGTAGCACCCCTAAACAAAAATAGAGAAGCCATAAAGGAAGCCTTTGGTGGAAGCCCATTCTTCTCTTTACCGCTCTACTGCCCGGAACCCAACCATGCCGCCCCAGCTGCTCGACCTGGCTCATGAAATCTAGGCTTTTTTGGGTACAGGTGTAGGATTTGGGATAAAGGGTGTAGGGTGTAGGGCTTGGGGTAAAGGGTGTAGGGCAGGGTTTAAGCCCAATGTAGCTGACAATGACAATGGCCATTGCAGTATGAGCCCGCAGTAACATCGAAATGGACAGTGATGGAATGGGAATTCGTGCTTCGTTGTCGACATGCTGATCGTCATGGTAGCAATGGCAACGGTTCAAACACTGATAGCAAACAAGTCATAATCATGATGGGCACACACCAACCATTTTGCAAACACAACGTCAGAGGAACCTCAACAGGAACACAGATGAACAAGACTGCTGAGATGCAAACTGTAGCCAAAGCCATTTTACTGCAATAGCAAAGCCAACAAACCCTGAACCGTAAACCCCAAAAGGGTTAAAGCTTCGTAGTGGCCTGGTGGATACCCCGATTCATCCCTGGGCCATGCGATAATCCTGAGCACAAGAAGTTAGGCACATTGGGGTTTAGGGTTTAGGTTTCAGGGATACTAGTATTTAGGGTTTAGAGCCTAGGGTTCAGTCAGGATTTAGAGTGTTTTGTGACTGTGGGTTTGGGTCGCGTCTTCTTGTTTGAAGGCCTCAAAGGCTAACAATATATGCGGGTAGGAATAGTCCAATAATTCTAGAAAGTCCAGCTTAGCCCTTAACTGCATTTGTTTCTTTGCTTGCCTTCGTCTCTTGTTACATGTCCCTCACCATGATGTCCAGACTTATCGCACACACAAACCCTTAACCCCTAAACCCCTAAACCCTAAACCCCTTTAAACCCTATAAACCCTAAACCCTAACATTCTAAACCCTAAACCATCCTAAACCCCTAAACCCCTAAATCCCAGAAAATTCATGGGACCTGTAAGCCCTGAGCATTTCTTCCACAAAAATGGGGAGCCTGCCCCCTTCCAGGAAGTCGACGCTGATAAGCTTGAAGCTAAAGGAAGCTACAGGTGGGGAGTTTAGGGTATAAGGGTTTAAGGGTTTAGGGTTTAGGGCTTTAGGGTTTAGGGGTTTAGGGACTACTGGTGGGGAGGAAAGGGTATATAGGGCTCTAGAAGGTATATAGACCTTCTATAAGGCTCCTATAAGGGTAACTACCCACCGTCCTAGATGAGGGTATCAATCGCGGCCCCTAGCTGTCACCTGGACCCCAACACTACGTATTATATTATCTTACCTACTTCTTTTTTGGGGTTTTACCCTAAGCCCCCTAAAACCCTCTAAGCCTTAGGTAGGGCATGAGCCGAAACACCTCGAACCCTGTGGGAATGCCAGAAAGATCTCAGACGCAGAGTTGCCAAAAAAAAATTAACGGCCGAGATCTGGGGCTTTTTTTTAGGAAAGCAAGTGGATCCATGTTCATGGCCCCCCCTCCCCTCTCTTGGGTATATAGGGCTTAGACCTCAGGGTCGCTTTGAGTTTAGGGTTTCGGAGTTTAGGGCTTAGGCCTTGGGGTTCGGGGATTGAGACAATGCGAGGCCGGAATTTCAAAAGCAACGTCAAAAGCAACGAAAAGGTCCTTCGAATCAATGGAGTAAAGAACTCTTAACACCCCACGTTAGACTTCAAGTATACAGCCTGAGTCGATAGAACAACAACCCGAGCCACGAACCGTACAAACCTTAATAACAAGATCTGATACCCCGAACCCTAAACCCTAAACCCTAAAACCCTAAAACCTAAATCCCTAAAACCCTAAACCCTTTTGAGACATGAGTCAAGTCGTCCGGCTGCTTGCCGATGACGATACCATGCCGTCGCCGGGGCTCCAGCATGTCCTCCCAATGCTCCCAGGACCTCCAGGGTGGTGATTCGGGCTTTAGGGGTTTAGGGGTTTAGGAGTTTAGGGGCTAGGGTTTAGGGGTTTAGGGTTTAGGAGTTTAGGGCTTAGGGTTTCTAGGGTGTTACGGTTTAGGGTTTTAGGGTTTAGGGTTTAGGATTTATAGGGTCTTAGGGTTTTAGGAATTAGGGCTTTAGGGTCTAGCTAGTCTCTCGGGTTTAGGGATGTAGGGTTCAGCGTTTCGGGAGTACAGTAGAGGCCTAAGGTTTAGGCGACTCACTAAACCCTAAACCCCTAAACCCCTACCACCCTCAACCCCTAAACCCTAACCCCTAACCCCTAAACCCTAAACCCCTAAACCCCGAAACCCCCTACCCCCGTATGCTTCCCCGGCGAGCCTCGACTCCAGGACAGGATTGGAAGCAGCCGGGGGTTTCGCCTCCTCGTCTCCCTCCTCGCTGTCTGCGTCGTCGTCGTAGGCCGACAGTAGGGACCCAACCGTCTTGCTCTTGGCCTCTTGAGGCTTCACCTCTGGGCTTAGGGTTTAGGGTTTAGGGTTTGGGGTTTAGGGTTTAAGGGTTTTCGGGGTTTAGGGGGGTTTAAGGGTTTAGGGTTTAATTAGGGGTTCAGCCCCTGCTGCCTCCGCGCGATCTGCCTTCGCCACAGTAGACGCCGCCTGGACGACCCCTGCAGGAACCGGCGCGGGTTTCGCAGCCGTTGATTCAGCGACCACCGCAGAAGCACCCACAGATGAAACTGTGGAGGCAGGCATGCTTTGGGCCACGATCGGCACCGCACCTTCTGGGGGCCAATCTGACCAACAAAAAATGTATTGTTAAAAACCTCCTGGGTGTATCGTCTTGAAAAAAGGCTCCTATGGAACACCCAGGCACCTTGCTGGGGAACTTGGAAAAGTTGAGGGACGCTTGCGGTCAACATGCCGCCTGGCACCATGAGCCTTAGCAGCTCGTCGAATCGATTATAGCCCTCCTTAAAGGGTCCATGCACCCCCTTTTCTGAGAGGGTCCATTCAGCTTGCCATCAGCGCTTCCTGAAATATAATATGTCGATCCTACTTGGAAGCCTGTTGGAGCCAAACCTTGCCCTCTACAGGTACATGAATCACCACGGCCAGGTGAAGAGCTCAGGGCTTGTTGTAAGGTTTAGGGATTAGGGTTTTAGGGTTTAGGGTTTATAGGGTTTAGGAGTTAGGGGTTTAGGGTTTACACGGGTATAGGGCCCAGTATGTATTTGCACAGCCGACCCTCTGCCAAGGAAAAATCCTTGAGGGGTCTTTGGGCCCTAAAACCCTAAACCCTACTGAACCCTAAAACCCTAAAGCCCTAAACCCTAGACCCTAAAACCCTAAAACCCGAAAACCCTAAACCCTAAACCCTAAAACCCTAAACCCTAAGACCTTATAAACCCTAAACCTTGGAAGAATCCTTGGGGGGATCTGCCCAGGAGCAAGGGTCCGGCAGCAAAGGCCAGGTTCCCAGGACTCATGCCCATGGGCACCTTGCTTGGAGGATCATGGGTAGTTATACGTGGGGGTTATGGGGTTCCTTTAAGGGTTCCTTTAAAGGGTTCTATAGGGCTTTTGGTGTTTAGGGTTATAAGTGGGGTTATACGTCCCCTAATTTGGGTTATCACTAAGGTTACCCTACCTATATCCACTTATAACTACCCATGGACACCTTGCCGCTGGGCACAAAAAGCGCAAAGGGTCCAAAGTACCTACCCATAGGCTCCTTAGTAGTTCCATTTTGGGATTACCTTATAGGATTCTAAATATGAACTACAAAAAGGAACTACTTAGGAGCCTATGGGTATGGAGTGGAATGTAGGGTTTAGGACGTTTAGGAAGTACTGCTATGCTTTGGGGAGGTATCCACATAGCAGTACCTAGGACCCCCGTAGGAATGGGAGTGTGGCTGCTTGCATGCTCTGGCCTTCCGGTAGTCACTAAACATGGGCGTCTCTGCCTTGCGGGTTACGGTCGTTGTTCAGTGGCATGGGGCTTTGAGTGTTGGGTTTAGCAGCGGTGTAGGGTTTATACTTCTAGGGTGCAGTGGTTTGGGGAAGTGGGGGAAAGTGGATTGGCGATGTGGCACGGGCTTTGTCGTTCGGGTTCGGGGTGAACGGCTACGGTTAAGGTCCACGGCGCACCTGCTGGTGTGACATAAACCCAAATGGCCTTCTCAGACCCCACGAAGGATCTAGAAAGTAGATCCATTAATTTGGGAACCTATTACTGAAGGGCAATTACTGCAAAAAAAACCTCCTTAAGTGGATCTACTTTTGGATCCTCCCAGGGGGCTGGGTCTGTGAACAACCCCGAACCCGAAACCCTAAACACTAAGCCCACACAGGTGCCCATATGCCAAGAGCTCCAATACAACATCTTGGTTCACGGCAGTCTGATGCTCGCTACTCCCGACGAAAACTCCAAATCTTCAACATTTTTTGCGGCTCCTTATTCTGATTTCCATAGATAAGTCCTGAAAAAGGCAGGTCTAAACGGGTGCAGGTACATCGAATTCAACCCTTCGCCATGAAGCCGTAGGGTCCTACTGTTGATGATATAACACCTGCATGATGTTAAGGACCCTATACTATGGGAACTATGGTACATTCCTTATTGGGTGGTAATGCAGGATTTATATCATCCACTCGTAATTCGACCCTGGGGCCTAGAACTTCGTCCTTCGGACCTGGGCTTTGTCCCTTTCCTGTGACCAAGCTCAGTTCATCATGTAGGGCTATAGTTTGGGGTTTGGGATTTATTTGGCTCAATTCCGAGGAAAGCATGTCTCCAAAGCTGCCTTAAACATCCTCAACCCTCAAACCTAAACCCCCAAACCCTGGCTATGGACACCTGCCAAACTCAAGCACCGAAGACAGAAACCTAGACTCAACCGACTAATAGGGGCCTTAATCATCAGAATAGGCTTTTTGTGGCCCATTAAACTATAAATATTACTAAGGAAAGGACTCCCGAAATAATAATTACCACTGACGTCTGAGGCCTGATAAGAGGACAAAAACCCCCAACCCCGAAACCTTCAACCCAGGGACCCTCCCTGTACCCTCAAATAGGGGTATAGCGGGTCCCTTTTAGGGGGTTCCTAAGGGGACGTGTAAGTGTTTCTATAGCGTTTCTATAAGGGTACTACAAGGGTTCTATGGGTAGTTCTCTAAATTCGGGTCCCGTTTTAGGTCCTCCGAATAGTACGGCACGCATACAAAACGGACCTTAAAAGGGACCCTAATTTAGAAAACTACACATATGTCCCAAAAACTGGGTACTCTGGGTCTAACGTCTAACAGGGGGTAAAGATCTAGGATTCGAAACGACAACAAATTGCTCCCAACCCATGCACATCATAAGTGTTCAGGGCTAATTGTGCCAAAATCCCCCCAAAAAAACCTAACACCTACCATGAGCTACACAAAGGCGATCCAGCGACATTCGCGGGCTGCGGTATCTGCAAGCCGGGGAGACTTCCGCAAGCTTGGGGCAGAGCTGCCTCGGCAGCGCTACCTTGGCTAGCTCATAAGGGGGGGCTTCAAAGAGGGTGAGGGGCCCAAAGGGTGCATGAGCTAGGGCTTATAGGGTTTGGGGTTTAGGGGTTTAGGGTTTGGGGGTTTAGGGTTTGGGGGTTTAGGGGTTTAGGGTTGAGGGTTTAGAGTTTAAGGCTTAGGGTTTGGGAGTTTATAGGGGTATAGGGCTTAGTGTGTCTAGGTAGTCGTTTCGAAGGGGGTTGAGCGTAGGGTTAAGGGCTCCTGCCACGGTCTTCTAAGATGCAGTGTCTTTCGAGAAATTCTCGGCCCATCGTGATGGTGCCCTCAATGATGGAAACGCGAAAAAATGGGCGCAGATGTTGGGTATACGAGGAGAAGAGTAAGAAGGAACCACCGAAATAGTATCGGGTCAGGGACAAAACCGGCCCTTAACCCTGAACCTTAAACCCTAAGCCCTGAACCCTAAAGCCCCAAGCAACAAAGCCCTGAACCCAAAACCGTAAGCCCTGAACCCCAAAGCCCAAACAACAAAGCCCTGAACCCTAAAGCCCCAAACAACAAAGCCCTGAACCAACCCTGAACCCTAAACCCTAGGCCTGAATACTAGCCCAGAGGCAGCCTGGACCAGCCGCAAGACCGACATTCAGCTGCTGCCCTTGGGCGGAGAAGCGTGCTCCCCCTAAACCCCTAAACCCTAAACTCCTAAACCCCCATAAACCCTAAACCCTAACACTCTAAACCCTAAGGGTTTAGAGGTGCCGAGATTCAGGGGACCCCGACCTCTAAAGCCCCGAACCTGCATCTCTAAACCCCCTAAACCAAGCCTAAACCCTACCTTAACCCCAAATAACCTACCTTTTTTGAGGACTTCTATAGAGAAATCATTCTTTAGGGCCCAGGTAAACCCTAAAGCCCTGAATCCGCAGACCTGCCTTGTTGGAAGTGTAGCGCGGGCTGGAAAGGCTGATGGCTTGTCTGCGGTACCTTTCAGTCGCACTAGGCACTGAGATGCAGGGGTGGGATTTTGGGGTTGGGATTTAAGCTTGCCGAGTCGGGTGAGGGAGTGAAATTTCGAGGTTTTGGGGCGTTCGGTGCAAGGCTCATGATCCCAAAGAGTCCTGGGTACTGTTCTGAGGGATGCCTGCCCAAATCGTAACCAAGGGGTCCTCATAAAAAACCCTACATTCTACGATTTAAAATACTTCGGACCCTTTGGGGAATTGTAGGGTTAGCCTAAACCCTAAACCCCTAAACCCCTAAACCCTAAAACCCTGGGATACCCTAAACCCTAAACCCCTAAAACCCTGGGATGTAGGCTTGAGGGTTCAGACTAGCTCCGGCGTGGAGGCATATCGGATCTGAGGTTTTAGGGATCCAAAAGCCCTACCATTTTATGGGTTCTACCCTCTAATTAAGGGGTCATAACCTACTATTTTGTAGGGTTGGGGAGGTTTTAGGATGTAGGGGTTTGAGTCGAGCTTTTGGAGCTAACTGGCGATTCAGAGGCTGACTGTAGGATTTAGGGGTCTAGGGTTAGGGTTAGGGTTTAGGATTTAGGGTGTAGGGGTTTAGGGTTTAGGGTTTAGGGGTTTAGGGTTTCTGCTTCTAGCAGCAGGAAGTCCTTCGCGCGGATGAGACGTTGCTAGTATGTAGAACCCTGTTAAACTAGGTTGGCCGTTTGACGCCTCTGAAAACAATGCATAGGCAACCACCTCGTAAACCCAGCAAAATCGCTATAACAGCTAAATCAACATGCACAACACATCGCAGTGGCCTACCAGAGTGCATTATGAGGTTCTTTTCAAGAGTTGATTACCCTAAACTGAGCCTAAGCTGCCCTAAACTCGAAACCCTAAACCCATCCTGCACACGCACACACATACGCTTATCTATCTATCTATCTATCTATACATACATACATACATACATACAGACATACATACATACATACATACATAAACATACATACACATACATACACATACATACACATACATACACATACATACACATACATACACGTACATACACATACATACACATACATACACATACATACACATACATACACATACATACACATACAATACATACACATACATACACATACATACACACATACACACCTGCATGCGTACATA